CATATCCTTAAGACCCGAGTGCCATATGCCTGGATCAAATGAATTCTCAGACCCGAGTGCTTCATAAGAGCACTTTTCATCATCTGATGAGTACCAATGTGCCATACATGCACACAAGTTACAACTTACATCAAACAATAAATAATACCATGCCACTCGATAGATCAATTGCTAGAACTTAAGAAGACAGGAATCTCTAAGCTCACACACTTCCACTGCTACAGAATGTCATGCTTTTTATTTCAGCCCATCTCACAAAGAATGTCATTTTACCTAGGATAGCTATGAATGGATTATTTTCCTAGCTTGGCGTTTTCAAAACTTCCTATCATATGAAAATTCACACTCAGGGAAACAAGTTCATTGTTTTTGGAAATTTTATGTATTTTAGTAATTTACTTTACTATATCCCCTCAAATGGCTATTTGGGACCAATGTGTATAAATTTGTGGGTTCCGACTTTCAAAAAGATAGGGGGACACCAAAATCAAAATTTCAATTTCAACGGTAGCCTTTAAAAGGTCAATATACCCATTTACAACGTGCACCCATTTCATAAAGTCAAGGCTACCATGGACATTAATGACAACATATAATGATTATATATGGTTCCAAACAACATGATATGACCCCAAAATGTATCCCCTAGCATCTCAAGACTTTTCTAAACTGGGTCCCGAAACCTCCAAAATTGCCCAAAAAGCGTGAATTATAACCTTCAGTTTTGGAAATTTTCGACTTTTTTTTACCCGGAAACAAAAATTGTCGAGATGATTACCATAGACCCTAATACCCTCCAAGAGTCCAATTGGATGAGTGGAACCATCCAATTTGCTTTTAAGCATCAAATTTACCCGTTTTCGTACATGCCTCTTGTATTGGCTATAAGCTTTCACAGGGCCTTTATGAAGCTGACTAATGGTAGTATATGTGTCGAAACAACATTATATGATCCGGGATGCATCCCGTAGTATTCCGTGAATTTTTGAAACCAGGTCCCGACACCTCCTAAGTTGCTTCAATTTTGTGTATAGCCTTCAAATTTGGCTTCCGTACATCAATTTTTTCACCCGGCGAGATTACCTGGTACTTCCATGGGTTCCCAAAGGGCCTTGGGAGTCATAAATTGTGCCTAGAACCACCTCATTTTTCATTAATCATCATGTCTTAAGGCAAAAGACCACATACCCCATATGACAAAAATATCTATTTGTATGACTTTCAAAAAGATTGGGGGGGACACCATTAAAAACTTATGACATCCATTTTCTTTCTTTCCGAGTTCTTTGGCTTTTCCTCAGACTTTCATTTTCATTTTAACAGTATGCAGCTATTCACTTTGCAAACACTGTGTATCTAAACAATACCGCACATCTACAAGCTTAGATCAGCTATGGTATGTAAAGTATGATTCTTTGGCTCTTCGCTAAGTAATTACCAACTTGGTTCTCACAACGGCACATTTTTCTTGTATTCCTAACTCAGTAACTCCCCTATCTACTTCATCCATAGCAAATCTTCACAAGAATCACAACCTTTCAATAAAGTCGATCCCCCCTCAAGGGTTATACAACCTAAAGCTGGCTTTCACAAATTTCTCCTAACTCCACTATCTACTTCTTCATAAATAGAAAATCTTCACAAGCTTGCTTTGATTACCATGACGTAGCTCCCCTCTAAAGAAGTATAAGCTAAGGACTTTCACAAGTTGACACCATTATCTATGAGTGCTACGTTGCACATCAGAATATGTATGTCCTGTTAAAACAAGTTCTTTTTTATCAATGCACAAGCATTGTGCATCAAAGAATCTAATTTACAGCTCCTCAATACTCCATTACCCACATTCCATAAGAATTTGCTAACATCACCAACTCATAGGTAATACGTGACAATAAATAAATCAAAGTAGACGTATAAGAAACTTTCTTCACCTATATATTTCTAATTTCTCTATCACCGGCAACAATTAAAGAACTCTACTTGAAGACTAACGAGTAGACCTAATCATTCTTCCTTATGTATACTAAACCCCCCATACAATTTCCAGGTACACTGGCATTATTTCAGCTTCTCTTTCTTTGAAAGAGTAATCACATATCTCCAAACTTCTTTCATCCTTATCCTAACCCTCCATTTATCATCCCTTCAAGAATTTCTTAACCCTAAAGTTCACATTGTTCGATTCAGTATAAACAAGGTTGATCAATAAGAATATCATCACAATTCAGCATTCGCAACAGAACAGAATAGTGTTGCAGAAAGAAGCAAGGATAAAACCAATACTGTAATAACTAAACTCACACATTTTCAAATTTATACCTCCAACAAACTAACTAAACAACATAATAGTCAAACATACACCAAACATAAACATACTACTGCCACAAAGAAGCAACATTTATACCTGATCATGGTACACAAATGGCCCAAAAGCCGCCGCGAAAACCACCACTACCGCCAACCCCATCATCAAAAGCCGCCCAAAACCCTTGATCAATCCACCTCTACAATAATGCCGCAACAAATACACAAAATATACAGGAGCAGCAACAGCAAACAAATGCTTAAAACACAATAAAACCGCAAAAAAGAAACCCCCCATCAAATCTCTCCCCTCCATTAACGCTGAAATCGAAATCAAAAGCAATCCCAGCAAAAACCCGTTATACTGAAAATGCATATGATCAACAATCAACAATGCAGGTGACCAAATAACCAAAACCCAGATCAATCTCCGCTTTGTCGAATCCAATTTTCGAGTAATTCGATAAATTGCATAGTGAAGAACAAAATCGAAGACAATCACTGTGATTCTCTGGAAATAAACGACGGAATCTGCCTTGTAATTGAGACCTTCATGAAGATTAACAATGGTGGGGTCAATTTTTGCGGCGAAAAGAGAGAGAAAGAGCTCGAAATAGGCGAAAAATGGAGGGTAATCGAGGGTCCAAGGACTAGTGGTGTCGGAATACCAGTGAGAAAGAGGGAGAGAGTTGGTAATGGCGAGCCAATTGCGGTGAACTTCGAAATCTGTGCTGTGGTAAGATGGGAGTAAGAGGAGTTTGATTGAAGTGGAAATGAGGGAAAACCATATGAGTTCTTTGATGGGTTTTGGAGGTTGGTCTTCCATGGAGGAGAGAGAAATGGAGCTTGTGAAGAAGATTAACAATGGAAAGGGAAGAGGGGTTGTAAATTGAGGAATATGAATATGGTAACAGTTTTTGGTAGTTGGATCCTGAATTCACCCGTTCAATTTCATTCTCTGCTGTTTCATGTTTTCATTGTTCTTCGTTAAAACATTGTGTGTGATTTGATTATGGAGAGAGTAAATTAAGATAATATTCACAGGAATACTTGATCCGTTGACAAGGATGGTACGGTATATCGTAATGAGGTTGTGAGATCAATCGTCATCAATGGGAGCAATTAAGGGTGAAATTGTCCTTACATTTTCTCCCCCGCTCTTAAAAAACTTTGTCAAATAATCTAAACCTAATTGATTTATGAGAAGTTTTGTTTCAATAGGGCTCCTAGCGTTACAAAGACTTCTAAAGACATCGATTGGCGAACCAAGAGGACGAACTAAGATGATGACTTCAATTCTTCAAATGACTATAACAATGAGGATAGTGGAGTCGAACATATCTCAACTTCAACAAATTGCTAGGAAATGTAGATCAACCCCGAACTATATACAAATAATCGTAGCTGAGATAAAGTCGTAAAGTAAAAAGGTCAATAAAAAATAAATTTTAAACAACTTCATAAGAAAAAAGGGTAAGAAAGTAGAGGCGATAAGCAAAATTTAAAATTAATGGCTAATTGAAGTAATAATTAATATCTAACAAGATCTTTAGGGAAATTGTCATGAATTTAGACAAATTATAAGGGTTTTCACCCCCATTATAATCAATCATAATCTATAAATCATAAATGATCCAATAAATTGTCAATCACATTTAAAGATACAAGGTCAAGAAACAAGTTGAGATCAAGAAACAAGTTGCTACCTTGCTTAAATTCTTAAACAAAGAGTGGACTTAAGCCCTAACCTACAAATATGACAATTGACAACTAATAAATCATGCATAAGCTACATACTACCTAGATGATTAAGTTTGGCCAATTACCCTAGCAACTCATAAGCACAACTCAAGGAGAAGGTTAAAATATGGAAAGGCCAGAGAAAAATACTAGAGTAGAAGAAAGTGCAAATACACTTTAGGTATAAAAATCCAAAGACACCCAACCTAGCTATGTTATAATTGGGCTTTCAAAGCTAAATGGAATATGACTCAACCCACCCACTTTCACATTTTAACAACCCCTATATTCATGACCACCTATACTAGTACTTTATATTTGCCTATACCAAAGTGGCAATCATGTTTGTGTGTGACTTTAAAGTACTTATATTTAAGTATTTTATCTCTAAAAGTTGATGATTTTGATTCCTGTCTAAGATAGATGCGCCACTACTTCCAATTTTGGAAGATCAATGGTATATACTTTGTATCTATACTAGAATTTTAAAAGACTAGTTTTTTCTTGTGAGATTCTTATATCATTCCTTTTATGTTTAAAAGATTGCTATAAGCATCAACTTTACTTTTAAAAACAAGTGTAAATTTATATACATGGGTAAACACAATTATCCTTTCTCGCCAATAATCTGCCGTAACACCATATACAACTAACTATATTGAAAATTTGAAATAATGACCTCAAGTTTATAAATTGGTGTCATTGATGCTAGATCAAGTAGTAATGTGGAAATGACACTAATACCTAACGATAACTTCATAAGGATTATTTACATGTTATTTTTGTGTAATTTGTAACCTATCTCAAATCAAATCAAATCACAATACAATATAAGCATAAACATTATTAACTCCTAAATGATTTTTTTTTGGAAATAATAATTACGTAGTATTAAAATTGAATTGAATGAATAGATAAAAATTGGCTAATTATTCCAATAATTAAAATTGGGAAATAATTTCTCAAAGAACCCCACAATGTTTTTTGGTCATTGGCTAGTCAAAATCACCTTCCACAACCCAACAAAAACCCATCTCCCTTCTCCCAAAACCAAACAAATTCCTCCAAAATAAACATAAAACACAATCTCATTTGAAAGCTTCACTTCATTACTTCATCACACTTCACTCCTCACTTCTCTCTCTACTTTCTCCCTCTTCTCTCCGACTTGCGAGCCGAGCGATTCATGCTACCAAGAGCTTCACAACTCGCCGGCGCCGCCGCCTCACGGTGGTTCTCCACCATCTACGCGGCGGCGCCGGCGGAAGCAGAGGAAATGTTCAATGAAGCTTGGATGAAAGTTGTGCCCAACTTTGACCCACCAAAAACTCCTCTTTCTTTTATCCAACCTTCTCCTCCAATACCCACTTCAATTCCTTCCAAACTCACCCTTAATTTTCATCTTCCTTACTCTTCCCACCTTTCCAACAAACAGGTAACATTATAACATTAATTTTCTTTTGTTTATATTGTAAAAGATTTAATCTTGGAATATGGATTGCTTAATTATGTTCTTTTGTTTTTATATCTTACATGAATATGAATTTATCAAAATGTTGAATTTTTGGGTTTGTTGTTGGTTGGTAAATCAATTGTTTAAATCTTTCTGGTGTAAATTTCGATGGGTTTTACTGTATAGCAATTTATACAGTACTACAGATTTTTTTTTTTTTTGGTATTATTTATTTTATACTATAAATAGTAATTATAGAGGTATAAATTTCTGTTGGTACATGATTTGACTATGTTTGAAATATTGGTTCGTTTTTGTTTGCTCATTTTTTTGGTCATATGTTTGTGTCACCTTTACTTGTCAGATCTCTGGACATTGTGTGGTTGGTGTCTTGGTGAGTTGGTGATGCCTAGTAAAATATAGAGTATCACAATCAAGATTAAAATTGGTACTTCACTTTGATATTAAAAAAGAAATTCTAATCCAGTGGAAAGGACAAGTATGAAAATATTATGGAGATATGTGATTTAAGTGAAAATTAGATATTGGAATCTTAGACAAATGAACCTTCATTCATATGGCTGTTCCAGTCTTCTGTATCACGTTGTTGTTTTCGATTTTAATGTTGAGAGTTTAGGCTAGATGATCATGTCTTGTTACAGTATTGAGGTTTAATTGAAGTGCTGGAGTTTTATTGTTCTTGCTCTAACATCTTCCTATCTTTGGCAAAACCTGTTTTGTGTAAAATCATAGTATGGGACATGAAAAGAACGAAAGGCGTTTCAGTCTTATAGGTAGGAGTGAAGCTCTAGGCTGGATCATGAGGTTGTTTCATGTGGTGCTGAGCTAAAATAAACACCATACTGAGTTAAAGCTTGATTAGTTGATATTAGATATGAAGGTTCAATTCAACTCACAAAGTAGTCATAACTCATAAGTGATTTCTGTACCTAGTAAAATTTTGATGATGCAGAAATTTTATATTTTATCTGTTTTCCAGAACTACTGGATTTTCTTCACCCCTAACCAAATAATCTTATTGATTTTCTGTGGGATGCCATGGAATAAGATCCTTTCTATTTTATGTCTTTTCTGTGTAGCCTTTGAAACTTCTTGGTGTATCTTTGTATGTCTTCTTGGCAGGCTCTTACCTGATCATTGATGACTCCCAACGCTGTTTTGATTAGATATTTTGGTAAATGTGACGGATTTGTTCAAGTTAGCTGCTTTTATGCCTTCTCTTTTCTAGGTATCTTACCATATATCACTGAAATAGTCTGCTCTAATAGTCTAATTTAGACTTGAAAAGTTTGACAAAATTCAGATCTCCTGCTCTCCGCATCCTGAAGTCTGAACCAAATTGAACTTTCTGATGAAGATGTGCAATGCACGCCTAATCAACAATTCCATCATCTTTGCAATCATTAGTAAATCGTAGTTTGTGTTGCTGAAATATATGTAGTTTGAGCATGAATTTGTATGGAGTAAAAAGTTGTATCAACAAAAATCTCATGTCCCAAAACCTAATATGCAGGTTGATATGGTCATAGTGCCAGCCATAACTGGGCAGATGGGTGTTCTTCCAGGACACACAGCAACCATGACAGAGCTGAAGCCTGGCATTATCTCTCTTCAGGAAGGCAACGAAATAACAAAGTATTTTGTCTGTGGTGGCTTTGCCTTTATCCATCCAAACTCAGTTGCAGACATTATCACAGTTGAGGCTGTTCCTTTAGATAATATTGATCCTAACATGGTCCAAAAGGGGCTTGCCGAATTCTCACAGAAGTTAAATTCAGCCGCTACTGATTATGAGAAAATTGAAGCACAAATTGGAGTAGATGTCCACAATGCGCTACAGTCTGCTCTTATGGGGTAAAACTGCAGCAATATTAGTAATTGAGTATGATATTTTCCTGGGAAGTTTGCCTGTTAGTCTTCCTCGACGTAGTGTAGTGTACTAGTGGATATGCAACTCTTTCTCTCTTTGGCCAAAAGCTAGAACGATAGTGTAATTTTCTTGTATTTTTATCATGTACTATGTGGCAATGAAATGGTCAAAGAAGGTAGATTTTATTGTGTACTTTCTCCTTGTCTAATCAACTCTCCTAACATGTACTTGGTAATGCCTGCGTGGCTGTGACACGAGCAGTATAGCTCATTAAACGTGGGATACTTTGACCCCCTTCGCGGGAATATGTGAACAATAAGAATAAGGTCCATTCTAGCACAAATTTGAACTGAAGGATTACCTTCTTGCTGCTAAACAGTTTAGGTTAATTCATGGTTTAATATGATTGTTACATTGTTAGGTCTTAGTAATGCAAAGCTTTTTGGAAGAACGACAAAGGGATTTACCAGTTCCAATAAGAATAACAGTTCACATTAAGAGTATTCAGAAACATACAGAAACTATCCGAGTAGAGTATCATGATAGCATTCTAGCAAAGGGATTTACCAGTTCCAAATCAACCCAAAAGAGCTACGGTAGTAATGTCTAGTCAAAATTCAAGAAATGGCGTAACCACAAGAGTCTGCATCTGAAAGACACTGGAATTAATAACATCCTACATACAAACGCAAAATCAAAAAGAGAAAAAAAAAGGTGCAGCTCTACAACCAACTGCCAACTCTACTAACATGAACATCAAGCATGGCCTTAGTGGCACAGAACATATCAAATAAATTAAATTTAAAGGGTGCTTCACCACAATCAGTCAACCACAAGCTTTCTTCGCTTGTATCTAACCATCACCTTCCCCTTCACGCCCACTACCATGGCATTCCAGTCAATCTCTGGGAATGGAGAAATTAGTTCAAACTCAAAATTCCTTAGAAGATGGCTCCAAATTGCCTTAATTTGCAAATAAGCAAATGGCTCACCAAGGCAACCATGCCTGCCCCCTCCAAAAGAGATGTACGAGAATTGCCCTGCTAATTTATCCTCATCCCTACCAGGGGCAAAACGGTTAGGATCATAACTGTCTGGATCTTTGTATATATGTGGGAGACGGTTGGCGAATGCTGGTGAGGTAGCAACAATATGACCCTTGGGGACATCATATTCTTTACCATCTTGAGTAGTCACACTGAAATCACCATGTGATTGGCGCAACAACATAATTAGTGGAGGATGGAGTCTAAGTGCTTCCTTGATGCAGCGATGCAAGACATCCATCTCTGATAAAACATCATGGTCTACATTCTCCCCATGCTTCTTCATGACAGTTTTCTGTTCTTCAACCACAGCAGAAAAGAATTCTTTATAACGAAGAAGATATGCACCAGTCCATGTAGATGTAATGGAGCTGGTATGTTGACCCGCAAACAGTGCAGCAATCAGAAGACCTGTGACCTCTCCCTCTGTTGTTGCCCGACCATCTTTGTACTTCGAGTCAATAAAGCACTGCAACATGTCATTCTCACACTTGCCAGAGGATTTACGCGAACATATAATCCTTGCAAAAATCTCAGCTAGCTTCTTACGGGCTCTATCACGGCGGCGATGACAAGGGATTGGGAGATATGGGAACATAACACTAATGGGTTGCATCCCATTATCAAGATCATGAAATAAGGCAGACACATCGTCAAAGAGCTGGTCACGGACTTCCTGACCCAGGAGACATCTACTGGCTGTCAATATAATAAGATGCTCCAACTCGTATTTCAAATCAACCTCCCCAGACTCTCCCCACTTGGAGAAGTAATCCTATATACACAAAAAATAATAATTTTGTATAAGCAGTATAATGGTATTAGAATCAGAGAAAAGACTAGCCATATAAAAAGACTATCATTTTCAGCTTCAAAATACATCAAGTGTATTGGATATTAGGTACTGTAAGTGTTCAGTATTGCAAATGAACTCACATCACAATATCAATCACTTTAGGTAGAGGAATATGACATTCATTGCTAAAGGATGACATCAAAATTCAAATAAAATATATAGGCAGAGAATATACATCGAATGCTCTCGTCATAAATTTTGGACAAGTCTCTGAGTAAATATCATTTTAGTATGTCTCCCAGTGCGATTAGGAGAGTCATTATTGTAACCTAATATAGATCAATGAAAATCATACTGGCCATGGATTTTTACACAACTTAACAAGAACCATTGAATTGTGCAAAGCTGTATCAAATCAGACAAATTGCATTTCTCTAAAGAAGATACAAGCTACACAAAGTGAAACTAAAGGGAAAGGAGAAAAGAAGTGAAGAGAAAGACCTGAGCTTCCACAACCATCTGATCAACATAGCTCTTGAGTTTACTGGCACGAAGAGCCTCAGTAAAGAAGCGGAACTGCTCCTGGCGAACAGAGTAGTCTACATCAAAGACTACACCAGGTCCAAAAGTAGGGACATTGAAGCGATAGACCTCTTGCTGACTGAGATCAGTCTCAGGTGCCTTGAAAAAATGAGCAGACACCTCAGGACCAATCAAGAAGGTAATATTCTTATTGACAAGATTCAAGGTGAATACACTTCCAAGCTTTGGGTACTCTTCCTTCAGCATGATAATGGGGCCCTTAAGAAAGCGAAGAAGGCCACCAATGACAGGAGGAAAGGCCTTTATCACCGGAGGTAGCCGTTTTGCAGATTTCGGCATAATTAGTGCTGATATCAATTTAGCAGCTATAAGGGTTGCTACAATGAGTAGCCCCACATTTAAGAACTTACTGTCCATGATCTCTATCTCCATTGTGCTAGCTCTATCCGCTACTAAATGAAGAATCAAGTAAGAATAATCAACCAAGGAACATATATTAAGGTATGCATTCTCAAAAGAAAGGTTAGCAGAGAATTTCTAGTGTTTCAAAGAATAAGAAATGAAAAGGTCCACAAAGTTCTGAAACTCCTCAACTAAATATCTCCAAATTTCAGGAGCCATTTTCAAAACCATATGACTTCCCCAACACATAAACACAAGAGACAATCGTAAGTCTTGTATACGACAATTGTATTCCTTAGTTACAAAAATTACATAAAACTATAAAAGCCACCCCTTTGCAAAGTTCAATTTTAGGTGAATGGTGGTATACAAGTAACTCCAAGTCTCAAAACACACCAATCTGATGATATTAACTGTCTTTAGTCATTCACATGGACAGAACAGACGTGGATGTCAACTAACTTAGTTAATCTATGGTTGGCAATCGGATCGAATGCCGTCTACGACATTACCCTTTATGGCTCTCTCTATACCAAAAAATAACATACACAAAGAAAACCAATCCCACTCACTTTTTCCCAAACAACAATTTTCCAAATACTTAAGATAAGAAACCGTTGATACAGAGAAATGAAATCGCAATTGGACTCGATAAAAGCAAAGGAAAACAACAGAAATAAACAAATAATGCTTAACCAATCAAGCAGATTATCAAATAAGTAATTATATCAATCTCTAATTAATCAAATGTCAACCCAATGTATAAACTTATAAATCTAACAAAACTCAGATTATGAAGTGGCATCACACGAATAAAAAAGTAACACAATAATCTAAGATTCTCATCAAATAATAAGATAGAAACATTACCAGATCATGAAAAACGCAGAAAATTAGCAATGAAAGGAGAGTAGATGAAAATGTGAAGAGGGGTTGAAACGTGAGGTATTTGCACAGCACTAAGACATACTGTCGCTAATTGACCCACTTGTTTTTGTTATTTTTTTATTTCGAAGAACAGCTGTGGGGTTAGGCGGATTATCCCATGTATTATACTCTTAATTTTTGTTTTTATGCTTTATATTATTCTTGATTTTGTGAGATTTGAGTTTAAATTTTCATTGGGTTATTTTTTATTTTTAATTATTAGATCAGTGGTTCAGATTTGATCTAAATGATTCCAATAATCTAATTCTTTAAAGTTGGGATCTGGATGGATGGAGTGGAGTAGACTGTAGACATGGGCCATGGGGGATGAAGTTGATACTAGAGTGAACTAGTTTAGTTCGTAGCACAACGCATCTGGTCCCGAGATAGCGTGGTACGATATGCTGTGCATGTTGGGCCGTAGGTTGTGCTTGAGTCGTGTTCTTTGTTGCAAAAGTATAATGTGGGTCGATATAGTGGATACTTGTATGACAAAGAATGATAAATAATTGAACTTGATGGCTTGACCTGACATGACACGCTACTCTTTCATGGCTCAGTACCCCCATTGCCTCCTTAGATAGTGGTAGAACGACTAGGAATAAGATTTAAATCCAATTATGAGAATGATTAAGAATTGACTACTTTAGAGCATTGGACTAAAAAAATTTATGCTCTTTTAGCTCATGGCGAACTTAGCCCAATTTAGGATTCTCAAATACCCAAACCCTAAACTATAAATTGAATTGTCACATTTATGCTACGAATAACAAATCTATTACTCGGTTACAATGCGTAGAATGCACTATAACAAATATTCTTATGTCTTGTATTTCAATCTTTGAATGATAAGAAATGATGAATTTAAAATAAATACAAAGTAAACTAGTTTACAATAATCGCTTACTAATTGAATAAAATTACATATTTTAGGTTTAACAATTTCAGCTATGTATTTAAAAACATTAAAGACATCATGATAATGATATTGTAGTGTGGGGACAAATAAAATCATCTACTTACAACGCTTGCTTCTAATAACAAGCTACAATTAAGCTAAATACTAGTGAGTTTAGTGTATGGATGGATAAGTTTAACTGAAATTGAAATGTGGTAGACATAAAAGGTAAGGTGCTGAAAAGTACGGATTACTCCTGATTGAATGACTTATATGGTAAAATTCGTTGTTTAAGAAGTTAGATTCATGATATTCAGATTTATAAATCACTTCTAAATGGCCGATATAATCTGCAGCTGCTAGGCTCTTGGTAAGGAAGGTCTTTCTCTGGCTCTAATCTTTAACATCACTCGCCTTAACTTTAAACTTTGACTGAGGCTTTAGAGAGCGTAGAAGTGCTGAGGATTGCCTGAAGTCCCTGAACCATGCAACTTGCTGCGACATAGTTGCTGATTTGCTGATGTTTCCAAACTCAGTCCTGAGGAGACTTAGCTTACTAGTCAGACCGTCAGAACATTTCTGCTTGAAGATCTGCTTACAATTAAATTATCAATGACTCAATGTTTGCTTTGCTGCTTTGTTCAGTTTGTTGCAGTGCTACGATGTTTCTTTTGGCTGCCCATGCTGGAGCCTGTTATAGTTGTCCAACTCTTTTCTGATTTCATTATGCTATCCTTTTAATGCTTTAAAAAAAATTTGTTAAAAACCCACCTTCTCTGAGCATGAAAACCCATACTTTAAGGCTTTGAAGCCTTAAGGGAAAGTCTCCTAGGTATTCACTTTGTCATATTTGTTGAAAACCCATACTGAGCCCAAAACACACCTTCAACCTATTGTAACAATTACACTAAGCCTATTACTCAATTAGCTCTATTTGATGGTGTAATAGCTCTAATATGGTGCATGTCTTGTTGTGTTTTATCAGAGTTGAGGGTTTCTTTGAGGTAAATAACAAACAAATAGTACAAAGTGACGAGAGTAGCTTTACTCAGATAGTGCTCATCTGGCAGGTGTTTGCATCCATTAATGAAACAGAAGAAGAAATGAGGAGATAAGATGATAAACAGGAAAAGGGATGTGAGAAGGGAAGTCAAGCTAAAGTATTTGTTATTTCTTTTATGTGGCAAGTGTTTTAAGTGATTATAAACTTATAAGGTATCTTGTAATTTTGTTTGTTCATTGATGAATTGAACTTCAGCATGTAAATCCACATCAGTGTACAGTAAGCTGAATTAGGTAACACAAAGAACCGTAAGCTGGTTGAATATAGTTCTTCCCCTTGAACTTTATTATGAGATTGAACCACCAGTTAAGCAGCATCAAGAAAGTGTAGAAACTAATAATTTAAACAATCATGTAGAAAGGACATCAAAATCACTAAACACTTTTTTTTTGTACACATACGAGCCACCAATCTCGAAATATAGCCCACCATTACAACAACCCAAGTCACCTTGAGACCAGGGGAGGGGTATTGGGATCCAACCCCAAACTGTCCCAGTGTCCCTAGTGGGACTAATCTCAAAGCCATGAGATGCAAGCAATACTAGTTATCACTACACCGAGCTAAGCTTAGTAAAACAATTTAATCTCTATGGTGATCAATGATAGGCACTGGGTTGATTATGCTAGTCCGTGCCTTCATCATATTTTGCACATCATTGACGTACATGAACCAGGACTATTGATAATGAAGCCATGTAAGACTAGCTATGACAGAGTATCAATTACAGTTTTACATGAAGTATTTGTTGGTTGCGATTGAAGGGATCCTAAAGATGTCAAATTACACTAAGCCTGTTACTCTGTAGACTAATTTAGCTCTACTTGATGGTGTAATAGCTCTAATATGGTGCATGTATTGCTGTGTGTTGTCAGAGTTAAGGGTTTCTTTTATGTGAATAATAATAAATAAATAAAAATACGGAGTGAATACTCAGATAGGCTCCTAAACTGGTCATCCGGCGGGTGTTTGCATCCATTACAGAAACAGAAGAAGAAATGAGGAGATAAGTATGATAAACAGAAAAGGAAGGGGTGTGAAAAGAGTCAGGCTAGTGTATTTGTTATTTCTTCTATGTGTTTAGTGTTTTAAGTGATTATAAGGTATCTTGTAATTTCGTCCATTCATAGATGAACAAACATGGCATGTAAAAGCTTTGAGCAAACCCACATCAATGTACATAACATGTGGCCAGAACAGTACAATAAACTGAATAAGGTAACACAAAAAACTCAATACAAAATGCATCAGCTCATTTCATCATGTTACAACAAACCAGCAAAAGAAATTCAGAGTTTCAGACTAACATGCCACTATTAGTTTGTAGCAAAAAAAAACAACTAGCTTAATATAGTTCTTCCCCTTGAACTTACATGAGAATGAACCACAATTAGCAGAATAACACAAAGTGTAGAAACTAACAGTTGAAACAATAATGTATCAAAATCACTTAACACTTAATTTCATTCAATCAGATACATGTACGAGTGTCCAATCTCAAAATATAACCCAACATTACAACAACCCAAGTCGCCTTGAGGGCGGGAAGGGTATACTCGTTATCACTACACCGAGCTATGCTTAGTAAAACAAACTTAATCTCTATGGTGATCAATGCTAGGCAGTGGGTTCACTGGGTTGATTATGCTAGAGTAGAGCCCATGCCTTTCATCATATTAAATTACCCTTTCAAAACTCTGAAGTCAGTCACTTAATTATAACATAATTCCAAATTTAAAACAGTTATTATTCACACAGCGTCACAGCCTATATAGGATTTGAACCTACAATTGCAGAGACAGGCTTTTTTTAATATATAATCCATTCGGAATTAACAGTCGCGTAATCGCGTATGACAACTAAATCTAGACGGAAGTATTAAGACAATTTAATGCCCTTAAACAAACAAAATCTAAGTTTTCAGAGATGTAAATATGTAATTGAAGAGGCCAGCAACTCACATCACATTAAAAATTCAGCAGATTAGCTCTTAGTTAAGCAACATTCGGAGCGTAAATGTTATGTTACTCCTCGAAATAATATCATAACAATTGAAGCAATCCTAAAATTGAAATGTAGAATTCTAACTAGTAACTTATGTTATGAGCGTAATTTCAAATTGGAAACCCTAGCTTCAAAATGATTGGGAAAAATAGTAACTTACCTAAATGCAGAACCGAATTCAAAGAAGAATTAAAGGGACCAACATCAAATGCAAGGAAGATGGGACTATTGCATGATAGGATATCACATTTCAATGTTTCAACTTATTCATCTTCGTCTGTAGTTTGCTCATATTATGATGTTTGCCTAGGGAGAGGAGAACGTATGACCGTATCAACCATCAACCCAACTCACGATGTTTGGTTAGGGTCCTCCTTATTAATAAAAAATAAAAATAAATAAAAACTTACGAGTCAATTCGTAAGTATAGTATGTGGATTATTTGGGCTAAAGTACTCCATATTAGATTAGAGTTTGAGTTGGATCATATTTGGTTAATTATAATTTGTACAAATTGGGTTGGATTTATTAGGTCGGGTGATTATTGTGACATAGTGTATGTTGTTTATTACAGAGTACTCCATTGCTTAACGTAGAAAATAGATTGATTACCGTCTTTTCAATCATGTTTGATTTTGGGTTGGGATAGTTAGACTTCGAGACATCTAGTATTGAATATGGCTAAAGTTAATTATATTTGGTTTATACACGTACTTATAAGTGCAATATTATTGTTGTAAATTATTACTAGATTGTGACAGTTATTATTTGACTTATTTCATTTTTTTTGAAGGAGAAAATGTGCAATTTTGCAGCAAAATAAGTTTTTTTTTTTATCTTCAATAATAAAATGAGTTAGCTGAAATAAATCAAAACAACCTCAAAACTACAACATATCAAAATTGTCCAATCCACATAATTATCTAAAATAGATGGTGAAAATAAAACTATCTCTTGTTCTAAAAATCTCATACGGAGTTCAATGCAAGAAATTGGGGATTTTATATAAATAATATGTTTGTAACTATAGAATAATTTCTCAAAGATTTATATAAATAGTCGACTTGCAAATATTATGAACGCGTATATCTAATTAGATACTTCGTACTCCCTCCGCTTTTAAATACTTGCTTCATTTCTCCATGCGCGGAGTTTTAGGAGAATTAGAGAAAGTAATAAAATATGGAGGTAGTGGGGTTGGTGGAAGAATAAAAAATTATAGAAAGAAAAAGTAGTTGAGAGAATTGGTAGAGAGAGAATATATGTTGGGACCACTAGGTGATAAAAATTGGTTAAATATTGTAAAAACTTTCCAAATAAGAAAATGGAGCAAATATTTAAAAACGGCCGCAAATGAAAAGTGGAGCAAGTATTTAAAAACGGAGGGAATATTTGTTAGTTGACATTTAAATGCTTGAAATTTGGGAAGTGCAAAAATACAAAATCCTAGAGAGTAAAAGTTTGATAAGTTATTTGGTTGATTTTATCATAGAAATCAAACTTACGTAAGAATTATGTTTTTCTATGGCTAGCTTAACCAAATAATTTCCTCACTTCCTAGTAAGAGAGATGAATGATGGACCAAATCGGACCAATTTAGGCATTTTGGGCCAATTAGGCGGACTAGATATTTTTTAGCTTTTGGGGTAAAATACTTACATGTTGTACTTTGAATTACGCCAAAAGTAATCTCCGTACTCAAATTAGTTTTATTTTAAGGTTTTTTTAAGAATAAGAAAAAATAAAAATAAAAAATCATCTCTATAGACACAACGAGTTTACTAGAGAGTGAAATTACATGAGATCATCAAATTCTAAAGAAGTATGGGCATCCACAATAGAACACAATAGAACAAACCTTTAAGATGTTTATTCACTTGACACGTCATCATTACACAAACCTCTACCCTAACAAACTTCTCATCAACAATGGAACCTATTTACAGGTTTAAGCAGGGGACCTACTATCTTCAATGCTAATATAATATCAGTGTCGGGGCTACAATTGCAAATTATTTATGGGACCCTATTCAACTTCTCAAAATGGGCCCCTCTACTCAACAAATTAAATACCCAATTTTTTTGTTAAAAAAATTCATTACATTAGAAAATTTGTCAAAATTAAACAATAAGTTTTATTAGTTAAATGTGAAATTAATTTTGGAAGATATAGAGTTTTTTTGGGAATTAAAATAATAAATTGAAAAAATTTTGAGAGAAAAAATTATTTGGAAAAAGGAAAGATCTAATTTTGGGTTTGGGTGGAGAATTCTAGAGACAAAGTAATAACTTCATTCAATGTTTGGACGCTCAGATCTCTCATACATAAGAAGCAAATTAACTCAAACCACTAGTCCATCTATAATTTTATGTTATTATTCCAAACTTAATTACATATATATATAAATTTTGGGGCCCCTCAAATTTGGGGGCCCTGCTCCGTCGCCCACCTTGCTCCGGCTCAAAACCGCCTATGTATAATATAGTGGGCCCAAAACATTTTTTCCTTAAAAAAAAGAGAAAAGGTTAAAGTTTTTGTCAACTTAGCAAGTTCAAACCAATTTATGTAGATAAACATTTAGAAAACAAACTTCAACCCACAACAAGCTTTAAATTGTTCCCGCAAACCTCTTACGTGCAACACTAATATTCTACTCTATAAATTTACCATTCGATCATTCAGTTAAGAAAATATAAAAAGTAAAAAAAACATGGACTGACTAAATATTGGTTACGGTGGTAACCCAATGGGAAGCAAGATCTAACACTAAACTCTGGAGATTCCTCTGACCTCGTGACTTGCAATTTTTATTACCCCATTTTCCCATTTTCCAAACTACCCAATTATTTTCTCCTTCATTTAAATTCTTAATCATTTAATTAATGAATTAATTACCATCATTATTAAGCAATTCCCCCACGTATGGTTTGTCACGTTTTGAGTGGCTCTATTTGTTGGGCAACCGAGGTCGCACGTGTCACGGGCAAATAAAGTAACGCATCTGGACTCTGCCCGGGAATCATGGGCAGTTGAGAGTGGGTCCCACCTTTTGGGACTTTTTTCTTTTTGGTTGGGGCAGGTGTTAAAAGAGTAATTAAGGGTGTCCTATTTATTAATCACAAATCATTGACTTGTAAGATACTCTCCCTATCAACCCTGACTTAGTCCTGACTCATCTATTTCAATCAAACCCTAAAACAATTTTTTGGTCTTTGTTTTTTTAATTGATATGAATTTTATATATAATTAATGAAGTAATTAGATTAAATAAATGTACAAAAGCGGTAATAACAAATTATACGGGCTTTCAATATGTTGTTATTGATTTAAGAATACAACTATACAAAGTCTGTGAAAATATAGACTAATGAATAGCGTAGGTAATTCGTTATTCATGTGTTATAAAAAAAAGCTACTCTGTAATCTTTGTGTTTTTTGCGTCATGCATTTTATTGGCGTGAGGCAAAATTAAGTGTTTGAAGTATTGATGATGCGAATGAAGACATTATAGGTTGATTGAAGATACGGGAAGGGGGATGCTACTTCTTCTTGCTACTTGCATGCCTACTTGGTTGGAATGGGTAGTATTCATATTTGGCGTGTGATTGGTTTTGTAGTGTTGGTGCATCAAGTTTTGACAAACAAGACTTGTATAAATGTTTGACATTGAGTGTAGTTTTATACTTGTATTATATTGCATGTTAGGTTATATGTGTATTAATTTAGGTATTAATTAATTATTTTTATGTGTCTAATGGTACTCCATATTATTACGATTTTACTTGATGTATTATTGTAACTTGTCTTATAATTGCCAAATGAAAATAGAGACTTAATTCGTGTTAATTAAGAACGGTTTTGTTATTAATTGCAAGTATTCAACCCCATCATTTATTTATAGCTTCCTACTCTACTAGATGGTTTAAACGACCACATTTGTAGCATTCAACTACAATATATAGTGCATTATAATTTATACTCGTATTATAACAACTTAAACACTCAGGTATAGTATCAAACTATGTTTTAAAAATATAATGGCCGGAACAAATAATTAACATCGAACATTATATTAGATCATAAGAAAATAATAATCGACAATATAAGGTCCAACAATTAAACATATTAGACATAGTACATATTAGTTGGGAACAAACATGTTAAAAAATTCCGACCTATTCCTCCTATTAGTTGACATTATCAGCTGTATTATGAAATAATCCTTAATTAATGTGGGGTTGATCACTAGACTTGGTTTTTGCTCTTTTTGATAGTGATAGTTTCATAGTCCCACTGTTTTATATTTATGTTTTGCTTTTCTTTTTTTCTTCTCCTTTTGTATCACTTTCAGATGGATCGATTAGATTTTTCAACAAAGATATGAGGAATCTAATCAATCTATCTAATTTTAAACAATTTATAATGTAATAATAACTTTTGTACAAAGTGTTTAACCGAATTAATTAGTACGTGTACTCTTAATTACATTAAGGTGTTAAGGTATATATTTTATATATATACCAAATGACCGGATATTTTACGAATTTCTCACTAGTTCGTGTGATGGGAAAACTAAATATTATGATATCGAATAATACTCCATGATTCAACTTGCATATAGATTGACAATATAATAGTTATTTAATGGACTTTATTTAGCTATAATATTGAACCAAGAAGCTAATAACAAGCACTTAGCCTTTTGAGATGCCAATTGCTGAAAATTTTCGATTTTCTCACCAATAGTTATTTTCGAATGCTTCATAATAATCCAACATGTATTTTGTTGTCAACCAAATACTCCATAATAAATTTATTTCGGAGTAATTGAAATTGGATAGGCCTTTTTCCCTATCTCATACAAGTAATTATAAGTTTTGTTTGACGTACCATTGGGATTATGAATGTAAGACATCTGATAGGTAATCAATCATAGGTAAACATTTCTTATATATATAAGTCGACTAATGAGCTCCTACAAACTCGATCTATAGTTTATAAATTTCTAATAATTTTACGAATCACATTAGTTGTATGTGATGTACAACATTGAACATATAGCTATTGTTATTTTTTTCAAAAGAGCAAATTAAATTGCCTTACTCAAGTAATAATTTACATGTAAAGTATTTCAGAAATTGACATGAATAATTTCTTACCAAAATTAATTACCGTTCATAAATCGGACAAAGCAAGAAAAAGACACGTGAAAGCCATACACAAATTAAACCACATAAACATGAAAGAGTTTATACTGCCAAATGACAGGTGAGCAAATATACTGGAAGAGAGGAGGCAAAAGATCACTGTACAGAAAAACTGTCTGGTAAAGCACAAGAAACCAGTATATATTCATCATTCATTTCATCATCAACTTCTTAAATAAATTAATATATAACTCCATCGTATAATTTTTATATGCTACTGTTGTAACTCTTTATGGTCCAACCAACCCCCACCAAAATTTATAAAACTAGCTTTAAATAAAAAAATCTCGCTAACGAGCGTTCTGAGACTTTAGATATATAACAATTTAAAATTCTTTTTTAAATTCAATTTGATAGTCTTATTATGACTTGAAATAGCTTTTGAGATGTTCTTTTGATCATTAATAATTTTAATTACATATTAAAAAATTAGATATTAAAAAACTACACATTGAAATGGATTTAATTATTTTAAGTATATTATTGTGAGTTTTTTTTATCAAGTTTTAAAAATTTAACTATAAAAATCAAAAGGGGGTATAAAATTGAAATGGATGGACGGTAATTAATGATGAAATGCATGTTAAATTCATACATAAATTGGTGAAGAAGTTTATTTGTAATACACTGTATTTTCTTATTTTTAGCTTTATTATCTGACGTCTCTAGAGTGTTTGTTGGCTTTTGTCTAATAAATATAATAAAATAGAATGAACTAAAAACTCCTAAATTTGAAGTGAAAACAAACAAACTTAGATGCATGTACCAAACAGCAATAGCTAAAGAAAGCTGCTTTTCCCAATACCCATAGATTCCACCTCCCATTGATTTTAATAATTAACTCCATTCTTTTTATGTACCCAAATCATTCAATTCTCCACTTTTTTTTTTTTTTTTTTTAATTTTAGTACACAACAACTAGTTTAACCAATTATTTTTTTCCCAATTATTCACTTTTGGTCCCACCCTTTTTTTTAATTAAAATTTTATATTATTTGAGGTCAGTCCACCATACTATTATTTTCTTTATATATAACATAACATTAGTGCCCATTTTTTCTTACTTCTCTTTTTCTCTTCTTCAATCACTTTTCTTAAGCTACCTGCTTTAATTTTCCTTGAAAAAAATGGCTTCCTTTGGTAAAACAAGATCTTCAAATTCAAGAGTTGCATTTTATGCAGGAAGTGAAGATTTCTTCAATCATCAACAACCTCATTTCCTTGATTCTTGCTTTTTCTGCAACAAACAACTTAAACCCAATCATGACATCTTTATGTACAGGTAATACAATAAGTCAATAACCCATATATCTTCTTACTGTTGTGTCGCGTCGTGTCATGTCATGTTTGTGTTTATGTTCGTGTTTTGTTATGGATTGGTTTTCTGATGGATGTGGGAATTTTGTGTTATGCAGGGGAAATACACCATTTTGTAGTGATGAATGCAGACAAGAACAAATAGAGATTGATGAATCAAAAGAAAGACCTTGGAATAGAAGAACCCTAAGAAAAGCAGATACATCTTCAAAATCTGGGTCTAAAAAAGCTGTTAGAACTGGAGTTGCTGTGGCCTGAATTTAATCAGAATTATCAGATCATAGTATATACATAAAATCTCCTCAAATCTTGCTATCTTTTTTATTTTACTTTTTTCCCCAATAATTTGGGAAAAATTTCATGCAGTGACTAAAATTTTAGGAAATTAGATTTTAGAAATAATTACCAAAAAAAAAAAAAAAAAATCCCAGATTTTTGGTGTGATCTGCTAGAAATATGTGAAGGGAATTACATCACTACCCCCACAAAGTGGGGAAAAAAGTGTATGTATGACATAATCTAGGGAAAAAGATCAAGAAGCAAGTTATGATGGAGGACAATTTTGTCTTTTAATTTTTTTTTTCTTTTTGATTTTGGGTGTGGGAGTTGTGAATGATGTTTTTATCAGTTTGATGGAATGCTCTTGACTATTATGATCTTCTTTGTACTTTTCTTTGTATTTTTCATCTTTCTAATTACGCATAAATATAGAATAAATATGTAAAATTGGATCTGTATACCCGTATTTGTATCCCTATAACGTGTGTTTTGTATAGAGAACACAATTGATTGTTGAAAGTTAATAATTTTACGAAACAATAGTATGATTGAACATGTTGTATACGAACACGACGAAATAATACACGAGTACATGAGCTATATACATACAAGAGGCATAAGTCTACTAGTATTATTATTTCATGTATTATGGCATAAGCCGCCAACAAAATGAGCATGGACAACTCACAACTCTCTTATTGAGGAAAGTGATTTGAGAGGAATAATAAAAGTTTGATGATGCAAGGACAAAAGTTGTTGTTACTTGATCCAAGAACTGAAATAAAGTGGAAAAAAAAAATTAGGGTACAAAAACATGAATAAGTTAAAGAGCAGGGTATATGTACTGTAGTAAGGATTGTAAGATGTGACAATAGACAGATTTTGAGCCACACATATCATCAATGATCCACTAACTCATGTCTCATTTCATAATTTGTGATTTGTTTCAAAATTATCACTAATTAAGGCAAATTAGTGTAACAATATATTCTAATATTCTCATAAGTTTAGATCTTTAGTTCACTTTAGTAAGGTTTAGCATCACTATATTGGCTTTTCATCATGATCTTGGGTAAGGGGTAATAATTAATCACCCTAGAAATAAGAATACCGGTAATAACGACATTCATAATTAACGTAGATTATGAAAGGAATTATATATTAAATTACATAAAGGGTGTTCTAGATCTTTATAGTGCAAATGAACTTTTGTTCAAGGGTTAATGAAAATGGACTCTATATGTGGAAGATAAACTAATTTATTTGGGGTGCAAATTAGGAGGGTTATATTAAATTGGGTATGTCTTATCAATGATGTTTTAGTGAAAAAAACACCCGTACAAACATACTTAAGATTAGATTATCGATCTTCCGTATCTATAAAGTAATATAATAGTTTGTATATGGCGTGTTTTGACAATAAAATTAATAATAACATGAGAATTGATAGTTAGTGATATTTATGTATGTAATTATATTATTGAAGATAAGAAAATGAAATCTCTTTTTATTAAATTAACGATTTACATGATCAATCTAGAAAAATTATAAATGAGGTACACGTCAAATGTCCATCATCTTAAGGTCTCTTGTCACACTTTTCTGCAATTCATTCAAATATAAAATCATTTAAAGTTTGCTCTTTCGCATCGCATGAAGGGAAAAAGCGAACCCTTAGCAAATTCGAGGAAAAAGTACTAACACGTCCAATATGAAAAACTTTACAAGTGTAGTAATTTGAAAAACTAGGGATAATATCATTTTTTTTTGACAAATACAAGTTTATCTGAGATAAACGGTTTTTTGTTAATTTGATGGCCTTTTTGTAAATATATTGAAAAAACAAGGTCATTTATTCAGTATTTTTGATGAGTTGTTCAATTACTAGTTGGTGAGAAAATTACACATGTACCATCAACTAGTATATGAAAAGACGCATTGTACTCCTCCACTGGTACTTGAAAAGACAATTATACCTCCAAATAAACAAAATTTTGTTTATCTGGGGAATTAATTGGTACAGTATTTTTTTTTTCCAAGGAATTTAAAGATAAGTTCTTAAATTGGAACCATTAAGTAGAAGGAGAAAAAGTACTAATTAACATTTAACATACTTTTAATTAAATAAACTTAGCACTAGTTCAATCAATTCTGTCACAAGTCATAATTGCAAGATCGACTTGCAAAATGTACTATAAGTACTTAGATTGGGAGAACTATGAAATAAAAAAAGTGTAATTAAAAGTACATTCTTAATTGATTGTTATTATTGGTTTGGTGATGACTATGGTTGCGTACCATCAAATGTATAAGGTAAAATTCATTATAGTAGGGTTCTATAATTTGCATAATACCACAAACTTGGACATGTAGCCTAAATTAGATTATAAGATCAACTTGATACATTAATCACTATACAGATTTGTATGTAATCACTTTAGTTGTAACACTTTCTCTTTGCTTTGCGAGGGTCTAACCAATTTCTTATTAAGAGGGAGGGTAATTATGCTACTCCATTAGTACCTTTCAACACATAGTAAATTTGAAAAAATTATCACCCTTTGAAGAATTTTCCCTTTTTTTTTTTTCCTTACATATGAATCTTTGCAAGTTGTAACTATAAAATTATAAAATTTACATTAGATAGATGTTATGGGTTCTAAGAATTGTGGGTTTTTGTGGCTATAAAACATTAATTAAAGATGGTTGTGGGTCATGCTTCATGTCAAGCTCCTGTTTGGCAAAAGTAGTGGTAGTGGGTAGCTTTTAGCAGTCGAGTAGCGGGTAGTTGTTAAGGTAGCGGGTAGCGGTCAATTAGTTGTGGGTAGAGGTTAGCTGTCAAAATAACGTTTGATGGTATGAATGTTTGGTAAAAGTAGCAGTTGCAATACTAAAATATATCAAAATTCATATAAATATTGTTTAAAAAGTAATAAAAAATTTCCAAACGTTATTATTTTTAGGTTATTTTAGATTTTAACACCTGCTAAAAACCCGAAAATGGTTTTTAACACCTCCAAAAAAAAATGATTTTAACACCACCCAAATTTCAAAAAATTGGGTATTACCACCACGTAACTGATTCCGTTTACAAATCCGTTAAGTAGGGCCATATATACACGTGTCGCTTTGTTATTGGCCAAAAAAATAAAAAAATTATAAAAAATTAAAAAACAAAAAATAAAAAATAAAATTTTTTTAAAAAATAAAAAAACCTAAAACTACCCCAGCCACCCCAGCCCCACCCACCGCGCCACCACCGGCGTCCCCAAACCCACCCCCTTCCGGCGTCCGGCGTCCCAGAGAATCGCCCGGCGCCGGCGACCGCACTCCCACCACCCTTTCCTCCACCTACGCACCCCACCCCTTCCCTTTCCCCATTTTCATTTCCCGACCCACCACCCGAAACCACCCTAAACGCCCCCTCCCCCAGAAAACGCCCCTCCTCCCCTTCCTCCTCCCCCGGAAACGCCCTCCCTCTCCTTTCCCCCTCCCTTAATCGATTCCCTACCACCCCAAACGAAACCCTAAAACCCGTTTAGGGTGGTTTCGGGGTTGTGGGTCGGGAAATGAAAATGGGGAAAGGGAAGGGGTGGGGTGCGTAGGTGGAGGAAAGGGTGGTGGGGGTGGGGTCACCGGCGCCGGGCGATTCACTGGGACGCCGGACGCCGGAAGGGGGTGGGTTTGGGGACGCCGGTGGTGGCGCGGTGGGTGGGGCTAGGGTAGTTTTGGGTTTTTAATTTTTTTAATTTTTTTTTAAACAAATAAAATAGTGACACGTGTCACTGGGGACCACATTTAACGGAATTTTTTAACGAAAACCGTTAAGTGGTGGTAATACCAATTTTTTGAAAATTTGTATGGTGTTAATACCCATTTTTTTTTTGGAGGTGTTAAAAACCATTTTCGTGTTTTTAGCAGGTGTTAAAATCTAAAAAAAAAACCTTATTTTTAACGTTTGAGAAAAGCTACCTAAACACTACCTCTATCGTTAATCACTACTAGAATCGCTATTTTGCTAAACATTCTCAAATTTTTTTACTAGTAGTGTTTTGACTGGTCAAAATGCTAACCGTTACCTCAAACGCTACTACCAAACACGGTCCAAGTCCACATGCTTTAGAATTAACTAGGCCCAAACAATAAGCTACATGACATGACAAAAATTACAAGGGTCAACCCATGCAAAAACTAAGCCAAGCCAACGTACCACCATGCCTAAGCCAAATTTCATTACTTTTACCATACTTTGTCATGCCTCTCCCAAATAAAGACGGCTCAGACCCGATGCACATACATACACGTATCATGTCATGTCCTGCCATGCTTTTCTTGTTTCGGGCCAACCTACCTCGACACCATTTGTAACGCGAGTGAACAAGTCATACAGTATGACCCGAGGAGTCCATTAGTCCATAGGCCCATATCTCAACCCCTCTCCACATTTCCTAGAAAAAATAAATCAATTTCACCTTCAATTGACATTTCCCCTCTTTCAATTTCTCAACCTACGACAATCTCTCTCCTCCGCAAACTAGGGTTTCCAGATCATCATCTTCGACAAAAATGGGGAAGATTCCGGTGAAGATGAGGGCAGTTCAATACGCTTTGTCGCCGTACCAGCAGAAGGTGATGCCCGGATTATGGAAAGATCTGCCCGGAAAATTGACTCACAAGGTGACGGAGAATTGGATTAGCACCACTCTTTTGCTCGGACCTCTCGTCGGAGTTTACTCCTATGTTAATTGGTACCTGGAGAAGGAGAAATTGGAGCATCGCTATTAGGTTTTGTTTCCAGATCCTTCTTTTTTTCTTCTATCTCCTGAGTTGAATGTTTCTAAGCTCAGATCTTTGGTTTTTGTTTTATGGGAAATTTGTAGAAGTTGTTCTACTCTTGAATTTGTGATGGATTTGATGTGGATTTTGAGAAATTTTCACTGATATTGAACAAAGTTGCAATAAATTTGATGAATTTGTTATTATTATTGGGTTGATTTAGCGTTGATTGTGTTGGTTTTTTTTTTTTTTTTTTTTTTTTTGGTTATGTTATACGGAGTATTTTTGAATGGGTGATATGAAGCTGTAGTATTTGATTGTTGAGTATATGTTTTGTTTGTTGTGATTGGTACTTTGTTTAATTTTGAGAAGAGTTGCTTGGTTGTGTGATAGTCTTATGTTGTATGTTGTAAAATACTGCATATGTGATTTCGTAGAAAGGTCTTCTCGTTCAGTGTAGCGGTGATCATATGGAAACTCTAAAGCTGCAACATTCCCTTGGTAAACTACTGGAGTTGAGTAATTTGAGCTGGATTAGATGCTAATGTTAACATTTCCTCCATACTTAGATGTTTTAGCCTAATATAGGTGAGGGAATTATCGAGGGGGAATTAGTTAGCTTATGCCACTGCAATGATACCAAATTCTGATGATAGTGAGGCAGAATTCACCTATAGCTGAAAGCCTGAAATAAAGCCTAGTTTAATAGCTTTTGCTACATTTACTCGATTTTTAGTGATCCGCCATTATTATATTTTGTAACA